GTCTTGGCCATTTTCCACGCCTTGGTGGCCCCGCGGGGGCCGTCGAAGGACTCACACTTCTGCTTCCACTGCTCCCTGGCGAGCCTCTTACCGTGTCGCTTGAAGAGTGCATCCTGGCGTCGGTAGCGGAGTGTGTCCTCGTGACGGCCCGTCCGCAGGGCCACCCTCTGTGCCTGGCGTCTTTGTGCTCGGAGTTGGAGCCAGCGAAAGTCAGGATTAGGACGCTCAACGGGGATACTCACTGACGTGGTGGCCTCTTTGAGTGCGGCGCCGATGGCCTGGCTGTCAAGGGGCCAGCCCATCGCCTCGTACTGGCGGAGGAAGGCACGATACCTGTCCCAGTGGACCACCTTGCACGTTCGATTGGGTGGCCGTGGGGCAGGTCCCGATGTTATGGGAACGTGGTCGCTCCCCCAGCTGTCTTGCTCGAGCACCGTGGTCAGTGGGAATCGCGCCGAGCAGAACGTTAAATCGAGTACGCTCCGCTCGACGCCTCGTCCGATGAATGTGGGCTGCCCTGTTCCGCTGTACTCCAAGTCGGTTTGGGCGAGGGCCTCCTGCAAACGCTTGCCGCGCGCGGTCGTTTTCCTGTCCCCCCACAGCTCGTTGTGCGAGTTAAAGTCTCCGCCGAGAATGATTATGCCCTGCTCTCGCGCGTGAATTTGTTTTACAACCTCTCCACCCCACGCCGCGTTGGGGTGAACGTAGCAAGAAAAGATAGAAAATGTCTGGTTATTTTTCTTTACCCGAATACCTACAAGTTCCGAAGTGTCCGAGCAGTAATCGGCGCTCTCGATCCGGCAGTGGGTCGCGTCTTTGTGGACGAGCACGGCCGCCCAGGGTTGTTTTTCCCGGCCGGGGCAGCAGTAGGTGGTGTAGCTGGGAATGGTTAGTTTGCTCACGTCCATTTTTGGCTCCTGCAGCAGCACCACCTCGTACGGCCTTGCCAAGAGTTCTGCCCTCAGGTGGGTGAGGCGGTTGCCGAGCCCGTTCGCGTTCCACTGGAGGATCGAGGGACAACCTTTTACAGCATTAGGCTTACTTGTTTTCCTAGTGCTTGTAGGCATTCTCAGTTCCTTGCCGCGAACGTTGCATCCCCGCGGTGATGCTGTGTAGTAAGGTCCCCTCCGGGATCATGGCTGTAGCCTGCCGATTCTTGAGGAAAAGCGGGATTAGTGTTTGGAGCAGATCCTCCAGGTTGTGGATCATGTCGCGCATTTCCTGCGCGGTGGGGGGCGTGTCCGTCTCGTCCCGCCGAGGGGAATCCCCGGCGCTGTCTCCTGGGGAGGCTGCGGGGAAGGGGGGTGAGGGGGGCACCTGTTCTTGCTGGGGGAGAGGCCTTTCCCTCTCGCCACCGGGTCGGTCGTCCGCGCGGGGAGAGGAGGATCCTCGCAGGTGCCGTGCGTCAGCTGGGCGCCGGTCATTGACCCCTCGCCGCTGCTGTTGGCTGTCTGGACGGTAGGACCTGCGATAGACCCCCTCCCGCCGCCGCGGCTTACCGACTTCGGGGATTTTGGCGCTGGGTTCCGTGTTAGTGGAGGCCTCTCTTGTCTTTACCTGTGGGGGCTGTGGGACGACTGGGGGGATTAGTTCGCGAGTCCTACTCACCGCGTTTGGCCGACTGCGCGCTTCCAGCGTTGGGAAAGTGTCTCCCCAGACTGAGCTCGCTGGGAGCACGCTGGTCTGCCACGCGGGAGTCTGGCTGGCTCCGCTGTGCATCCAGGGGGGCGGGGTGGCGGTCTGCTCCTGCGCGCGCTGCGTGCTGCGCTCGCTTGCCTTTTTCTTGTGGAGTTCGGCGGCGACACGTTTGGCCTCCTTCCAGCTGCAGCCGGTGTCGCGGACCGCCTCGGCCTCGCGCTTGTGTTGTTGGTACACGCTGCATCCCTTGTCGAATGCAGCGTGTCTGCACTTGCAGTTGGGGCAAATGGGGGTGAGTTTTGTCGCGCACTTACCCCGAGGGTGCCTGCCCCTGCATGTAGGGCAGGCAGTGGGCAGCGTGCACGCGGACTGCACGTGGCCGAAGCGTCCGCATCCCCAGCACTGCGTTGGCCGGACGTGTCGTGCCTCCACGACAAACTCGATGTCATAGATCAGGACCGTGGCTGGTAGGGGTCCGCCGAAGAAGAGCTCCGCGTACCGCCCTCCGCTGAACCGTCTGATGTGGTCCACGGGCACCTCGCTTTCGAGGCCTCGGGTCAGCTGTTCTGTTGCGTCATTGGGGCAAAGTCCGCGGATTACGCCGATACTCACCGCTCTGGCCGGCGCGAGGGTGGCATGGAGAGGGAGGCTCGCCAGCTTGTCGGTGCCTAGGAGGCGGTGGGTCATTGCCGCGCTCGTTGTTTCGACCGCCATCACGTTTCGCCTGAGATTGAAACGTGTGGCGGCCGCCTTGCCGCCCGTGACCTGTCGAAGGCCCTGTGCCAAGGAGACTCTGTTCTCGAGGGTTAGCTTACCTGTTCCCGTTGGGCGGAGCAGGACTGTGGACCCCTTTGCGGGGAGTTCGTCTAAGGAGGGAATTGGTTGGTTACCCTTGCCTTTGTTTGTCTTACGTGAGGCCCCGGATGTTGGGGGGCTTGTCACTGTGGGGGGGGTTGTCGCTCGGGGAGGGGTTGCTGCACCGTCCTTTCTTTTTTGTTGCAGTTCCTCGATGAGGGTGTTGCAGTCCTTGCTGCCTGCTTCCAGAAGTGCTGCAAACTGGTTGGAGGTGTTTACAGTCACCTGGAGTTGGTCGTCATCCTCCTCGGAGGTGTTGTCAGGTGTGGAGTCACTGGGGCTCGATGTTGTGTCCCCGCTTGCTTCGGAGGGGCTGTCGCTGTTCTCGCAGTCGTGGAACAGGTCCACGACTTCGTCCGGGAGCCGATCTGCATTTGGGTGTACTAAACCGGCACTTTTTAGTACACCTAGGATGGCGTCCGGTCGGGGGACGCCATCCTTCGGGGGCTCGTCGCGCTCCACGTGGGCGCCGTCCTCGTGGCTCTCGGGTGCCACGCGGAGGCTAGCCTCCGCGCGGGATCCGGTCCCCACGAGGTTTTCCGCGTTGTCCACGTGGCTCGCGCCGGCTGGCGGTAACGAATGGTTACCGTCTGTGTTTGGTTTGGGCTTCATGGCCCTGCTCCGCAGCAGGTACCCCGAGGGGTCCTCTGTCTCCTTTGAGTGGTCCGTGGTCAGTTGGTCCGGGGGCATGCCTGCGTCGGTGCCCTCCCGAGGGAGGGCGGGGGGGAAACTACAAACTGTTTAAATAAAGGTCCCTCCGCCTCTTTAAGGCAGAAGGATCTTTAACACTAACTAGCTCTACTCTATCTTAATTCTTCTTCACATTACGAAGTTAGGGTTAAAGCTAGGACTAAATTCAAAATGGCGCTTATATTGGAGCTAACAAATCACACGTCTACTTTATTTGCCAACTCTTCTAAAAGTCACCTCACCTGAAATTTTCGTTTTCTTTGCTCTTTTTATAGGTTTTCACAGCATTCTGAAAAATGTGCTCCGATTGGCCAGCATTCTAGAGCGCGGGAAACAGTGCGCTGTGATTGGAGTACGCCCAAAATAAAGCTTCGCGATTGGTTGCTGCGCGAACCAATGAGCAAGCAGTTGAAACTACAATTTTTTGGGAGAGGGTTTTGGGAGAGGAGTGCTATGAAGCAGAGGCAGTGCAAGGCGAAAACGCGCTCTTGCAGCGCCCCCCAAGCGGAGAGGACTGGCACTTGCTTTGATTTTCTGCTTCTCGATGCGCTGACTCCCTCACTCACTCAGTGTTCGTTGGTTTGTTCGGTTGTCCACTTCTCACCTCCACCAAGATGTCTGGGCGCGGAAAAGGAGGCAAGGCAAAGGGCAAGAGCAAGACCCGTTCCAGCCGCGCGGGGCTCCAGTTTCCCGTGGGAAGGATCCACCGACTACTGCGAAAGGGCAACTACGCGGAGCGAGTAGGTGCCGGTGCCCCCGTCTACTTGGCGGCCGTACTCGAGTACCTGGCTGCCGAAGTGCTCGAGCTGGCAGGAAACGCGGCCAGGGACAACAAGAAAACTAGGATCATCCCTCGACACCTGCAGCTGGCCATTCGCAACGACGAAGAGCTCAACAAGCTGCTGTCCGGCGTTACCATCGCGCAAGGAGGTGTCCTGCCCAACATCCAGGCCGTCCTCCTTCCCAAGAAGACCGAGAAGAAGGCCTAAACCATCCCGCGGCATCCGCTACAGAAAAACGGTCTTTTTCAGGACCACTCATGACTTGAGTACAGGATACTCATTTCCGTGCGCTAGTCTTCCGTGTCTCTAAACGCTCGGGTATGTGCATTTCAATTTCCTTTTTGTGCAATGCCGACAGTGTTTCTCTTTCATCACCTACAGGCCTTGAATGCCACTCTTAGGCATTCTCCCATGCATAATATTTACGCTGCGTTTAATGCCAAATTCTTTCACGTGTGCGAATTGCCCGAACAAGACTTGCTGTCGGGCGCAAAGGCCAGCATTGCTTGTTATTTGAACTCGTAAAACCACCGCTGCACTGCCTCGCTTTGAGAGGATTTGAAGCTGTTTCTACGAGAGTCAACAATCGGAGCAGCATTTCCCCTAAACCGGCAGAGGGCAATAAATGTTGTGGACATCCCTCAAAAACAGATAATTACTCCACGGGTTTTTGTTGGTCGAATCTATAATCGTGATATTCGCTGATTGCTAGAAAATGAACCCTGTAATGTCTCGGGAAAGGTTTTTTTCTTCTTTATTTATTTCATTCAACAACACTTTAGAAAACAAGGAACACATGAAGGAATCGTTGGAAGCAACTGCGAACGGAGCACTTGGCACAATGCAAACTAGTTCAAAATGGGAGAATAAATAGAAAGTACTCACAGCTTTTGAACTCCTGCACTTGGAACAAGTCAGCATCGGAGATTGAGACACGGGAGGACGTCGCTTTACACATGTCCGAAAAGCATGTCTGATGTGGCCCTGAAGAGGGCCGTTTTTGTGGCGTTGCCTGCCGCTTCCAAAGAAGCGACATTAAGCGCGTTCACCGCGGATGCGACGAGCCAGCTGGATGTCCTTAGGCATGATGGTTACCCGCTTGGCGTGGATGGCACAGAGGTTGGTGTCTTCGAAGAGACCGACCAAGTAGGCCTCGCTGGCCTCCTGCAGGGCCATTACAGCCGAGCTCTGGAAGCGGAGGTCCGTCTTGAAATCTTGCGCGATCTCCCGCACTAGCCTCTGGAAGGGCAGCTTGCGGATGAGCAGCTCAGTCGACTTCTGGTAACGACGAATCTCACGCAGCGCGACCGTGCCCGGCCTGTAGCGATGCGGCTTCTTGACTCCACCGGTTGCAGGAGCACTCTTCCGGGCGGCCTTCGTAGCCAGCTGCTTGCGCGGTGCTTTTCCTCCCGTGCTCTTGCGGGCGGTCTGCTTCGTACGGGCCATTCCGAAACGTTGGGACAATAAAACGAGAGAGCTAGCAAACAGCAACACACCTCGACTCCTGACGACCAACTGCCTCAGCGCGAGTGGCGAAACTTCCTTCCCGACAAGGCCTCTCGGCCAATCAGAGAGCTTGTTCATTCTGGATGCTGTTTTGGGCAAGTTTCTTGCGAGGGACAGCGCACGTGGCTCGCTAGGACAATATTTCACGATTGAAGTGATCTAAACTTGTGGAAATAATGTGGAACCAACGTTAGAGCACAGAATCGAGCAAAAATTAGACTCCCAACCTTGTTATTTTAGAAACGGCACGGTTATAAACATTCGTTACCTTCTCCAGTGGGCCGCGCTCGCCTCTCGTCCAATCAGCGCGCTTGTTCATTCTTGGATGCTGTTTTGGGCGACTTTCTTGTGAGGGCCTATGCGCTTGGCTCCGTAAAATAATTTTTCTCGATCGAAGTAACTCAGACTTGTGAGGATAATGTGGAACCTATATTAGAGCACAGAATCGAGCAAAAATTAGACTCCAAACTTTGTTATTTTAGAAACGGCATGGTTACAAACATTCGTCACCTTCGAAGGGCTTCTCCCGGAGGTTCGCGCTCGCCTCTCTCGGCCAATGAGCGCTTGTTCTAGACGGTTTTTTTTCAGTCTCTCTCTGCTTACGATTAGAGTGGGTCATGTCCGAAGAAGTGTCCGCTCCTGCTGGGGTCGCGGCCCCCGCTGCCCTTAAGAGCCCCAAAAAGGCTTCCACGAAAGTGTCCAAGGGAAAGGCAAAGGCCGTGCCAACGCATCCCAAGGTGTCCGCAATGGTGACAGCATCCATCAGTGCGCTTAAGGAACGTGGTGGTTCATCTCTACAAGCCATCAAGAAATACATGTCTGCCAACTACAAGGTGGACGTCGAGAAGCTGTCTCCTTTCATCCGCAAGTATCTCAAGTCTGCCGTGGCTGCGGGAGCATTGGTGCAGACCAAGGGCAAGGGAGCTACCGGATCGTTCAAGCTGTCAGCCAAGTCCGACAAGCCCTCACCTGCTGCTAGGAAGCCCAAAAAGGAGGCTGGTGCTGCAAAGAAGCGCCCAGCCTCGGCAACTGCCGGTGCGGCCAGGAAGAAGAAGCCCGCGACTGCCAAGAAGTCGCCCGCAAAGAGGGCCAAGTCGGCCAAGCCCAAGTCGGCCAAGCCGAAAAAGCCAAAGGCAGAGAAGAAGGCTGCAGCACCCAAGAGCCCCAAGAAACCCAAGGCAGCAAAAAAGACCCCTGCCAAGAAGCCGGCTGCAAAGAAGGCTTCCTCCAAGAAATAGGTCTTCTCCTGGATATCCAGAGCGAAAAACAAAACGGCCCTCATCAGGGCCATAATTCGTTTGCATATCGGGGGATATGCACTTGCGTGGCATGCAGCTCCCGTGTCTCTCGCCACCTCTCTGTTCCAGCCTCGGTAAGCTGATTCCTGCTCTTTTTCAATGTGCACGAGGCATACTTGGTGTTATATTATTGTTTGTTCCCCTGTTAGCAGCATTTTATCTTTGTGTGTGGTACTCGTGAAGTCGTGGAGGCCCGCTTCACGCTCGAGCCGCGATTCGATCGCCTAAGATCAGGCGAAAATAAAAAAAAACTACTCGCTTTAGAACAGTCTTTTTTTCTGTCCTCTTAGCGCACACCTTTTTTTTTGCGGCACACGAAATTAAGAATCTGTATCTACGTTTATTATTACCTCTTTTAAACTTAAATCGACCAGCCGCCCTGACCGCTTGAAAACTAGTTTTGGCTTCCAAGTAAGAGGTTAGATCGAAATATGAAGAAAAATAACTCCGTTTAAATTCAAATAATTTTTACACCTATTAGAGAAGTTCATTAGCTTTCGGAAAATATATACTTCGCTATGCGTAAAAATATTTTTCGTTGCGTTAGAGAGTGAAACAGGTCAAGCTGTAGAGTCCGGCGCGCGCTCGAGCCGCGATTCGATCGTCCAAGATCAGGCAAAAATTAAATATAAAAAGAACTACTCGCTTCAGAAGAGTCTCTTTTTCTGTGCTCTTAGCGCACACGTTTTTTTAGCGGCACACAAAATTAAGAATCTGCATCTGCGTTTATTATTACCTTTGTTAAACTTAAATCGACCATCCACCCAGAGCGCCCGAAAACTTGTTTTGCCTTCCAAGTAAGTGGTTAGATCGAAATATGAAGAAGAATAACTACGTTTAAATTCAAATAATTTTTACACCTATTAGAGAAGTTCATTAGCTTTCGGAAAATATATACTTCGCTATGCGTAAAAATATTTTTCGTTGCGTTAGAGAGTGAAACAGGTCAAGCTGTAGAGTCCGGCGCGCGCTCGAGCCGCGATTCGATCGTCCAAGATCAGGCAAAAATTAAATATAAAAAGAACTACTCGCTTCAGAAGAGTCTCTTTTTCTGTGCTCTTAGCGCACACGTTTTTTTAGCGGCACACAAAATTAAGAATCTGCATCTGCGTTTATTATTACCTTTGTTAAACTTAAATCGACCATCCACCCAGAGCGCCCGAAAACTTGTTTTGCCTTCCAAGTAAGTGGTTAGATCGAAATATGAAGAAGAATAACTACGTTTAAATTCAAATAATTTTTACACCTATTAGAGAAGTTCATTAGCTTTCGGAAAATATATACTTCGCTATGCGTAAAAATATTTTTCGTTGCGTTAGAGAGTGAAACAGGTCAAGCTGTAGAGTCCGGCGCGCGCTCGAGCCGCGATTCGATCGTCCAAGATCAGGCAAAAATTAAATATAAAAAGAACTACTCGCTTCAGAAGAGTCTCTTTTTCTGTGCTCTTAGCGCACACGTTTTTTGAGCGGCACACAAAATTAAGAATCTGCATCTGCGTTTATTATTACCTTTGTTAAACTTAGATCGACCATCCACCCAGAGCGCCCGAAAACTTGTTTTGCCTTCCAAGTAAGTGGTTAGATCGAAATATGAAGAAGAATAACTACGTTTAAATTCAAATAATTTTTACACCTATTAGAGAAGTTCATTAGCTTTCGGAAAATATATACTTCGCTATGCGTAAAAATATTTTTCGTTGCGTTAGAGAGTGAAACAGGTCAAGCTGTAGAGTCCGGCGCGCGCTCGAGCCGCGATTCGATCGTCCAAGATCAGGCAAAAATTAAATATAAAAAGAACTACTCGCTTCAGAAGAGTCTCTTTTTCTGTGCTCTTAGCGCACACGTTTTTTGAGCGGCACACAAAATTAAGAATCTGCATCTGCGTTTATTATTACCTTTGTTAAACTTAGATCGACCATCCACCCAGAGCGCCCGAAAACTTGTTTTGCCTTCCAAGTAAGTGGTCAGATCGAAATATGAAGAAGAATAACTCCGTTTAAATTCAAATAATTTTTACACCTATTAGAGAAGTTCATTAGCTTTCGGAAAATATATACTTCGCTATGCGTAAAAATATTTGTCGTTGCGTTAGAGAGTGAAACATGTCAAGCTGTAGAGTCCGGCGCGCGCTCGAGCCGCGATTCGATCGTCCAAGATCAGGCAAAAATTAAATATAAAAAGAACTACTCGCTTCAGAAGAGTCTCTTTTTCTGTGCTCTTAGCGCACACGTTTTTTGAGCGGCACACAAAATTAAGAATCTGCATCTGCGTTTATTATTACCTTTGTTAAACTTAGATCGACCATCCACCCAGAGCGCCCGAAAACTTGTTTTGCCTTCCAAGTAAGTGGTCAGATCGAAATATGAAGAAGAATAACTCCGTTTAAATTCAAATAATTTTTACACCTATTAGAGAAGTTCATTAGCTTTCGGAAAATATATACTTCGCTATGCGTAAAAATATTTTTCGTTGCGTTAGAGAGTGAAACATGTCAAGCTGTAGAGTCCGGCGCGCGCTCGAGCCGCGATTCGATCGTCCAAGATCAGGCAAAAATTAAATATAAAAAGAACTACTCGCTTCAGAAGAGTCTCTTTTTCTGTGCTCTTAGCGCACACGTTTTTTGAGCGGCACACAAAATTAAAAATCTGCATCTGCGTTTATTATTACCTTTGTTAAACTTAGATCGACCATCCACCCAGAGCGCCCGAAAACTTGTTTTGCCTTCCAAGTAAGTGGTCAGATCGAAATATGAAGAAGAATAACTCCGTTTAAATTCAAATAATTTTTACACCTATTAGAGAAGTTCATTAGCTTTCGGAAAATATATACTTCGCTATGCGTAAAAATATTTTTCGTTGCGTTAGAGAGTGAAACATGTCAAGCTGTAGAGTCCGGCGCGCGCTCGAGCCGCGATTCGATCGTCCAAGATCAGGCAAAAATTAAATATAAAAAGAACTACTCGCTTCAGAAGAGTCTCTTTTTCTGTGCTCTTAGCGCACACGTTTTTATAGCGGCACACAAAATTAAGAATCTGCATCTGCGTTTATTATTACCTTTGTTAAACTTAAATCGACCATCCACCCAGAGCGCCCGAAAACTTGTTTTGCCTTCCAAGTAAGTGGTTAGATCGAAATATGAAGAAGAATAACTACGTTTAAATTCAAATAATTTTTACACCTATTAGAGAAGTTCATTAGCTTTCGGAAAATATATACTTCGCTATGCGTAAAAATATTTTTCGTTGCGTTAGAGAGTGAAACAGGTCAAGCTGTAGAGTCCGGCGCGCGCTCGAGCCGCGATTCGATCGTCCAAGATCAGGCAAAAATTAAATATAAAAAGAACTACTCGCTTCAGAAGAGTCTCTTTTTCTGTGCTCTTAGCGCACACGTTTTTTTAGCGGCACACAAAATTAAGAATCTGCATCTGCGTTTAATATTACCTTTTTAAACTCAAATCGACCATCCACCCAGAGCGCCCGAAAACTTGTTTTGCCTTCCAAGTAAGTGGTTAGATCAAAATATGAAGAAGAATAACTCCGTTTAAATTCAAATAATTTTTACACCTATTAGAGAAGTTCATTAGCTTTCAGAAAATATAAGAACTGGTACAAAAGGACACAACCCTCCAAGAGAGCAGAAAAAAAAAAAAAGAAAAATGCCATCAGCACTCCGTGTTCCCAGGTGGTCACCCTCCCAAGTACTGACGGAGCCCGATGCTGCTTAGCTTCGGTGATCGGACGAGAACCGGCGTATTCAGCATGGTATGGCCGATGGCAGGTACTAGGGCAACGAATGTTCGACTGCTGCCTGAGAAGATTGGTACACTCGGCTGTGGCGCACAAAATGGTAGAGACCCGCGGCAAAACAACACTCATGACAAAAGAGGAATCACTCACCCAAAGCAGTGCTTGTTTTCAGGATTACAGAGAGACACGGGAGGGAGGCGTTGGAATGAAAACCCGTTTCCAAGATAGATCGGTACTGGTTTGGCCCTGAAAAGGGCCGTTTTCGATGTGTGTCCGACGGCGAGACGGCTGTTAACCACCGAAACCATAGAGGGTACGGCCTTGCCTCTTGAGCGCGTACACCACATCCATGGCCGTCACGGTCTTCCTCTTGGCGTGCTCGGTGTAGGTGACGGCATCGCGAATGACGTTCTCCAGGAAGACCTTGAGGACGCCGCGGGTCTCTTCATAGATGAGGCCGGAAATGCGCTTGACACCACCGCGGCGGGCTAGGCGACGGATTGCAGGCTTGGTGATCCCCTGGATGTTATCGCGAAGAACCTTGCGATGGCGCTTGGCACCACCCTTGCCCAGGCCCTTGCCGCCCTTGCCTCTTCCAGACATGTTTGCTGCAAAAACAGGGACGGAAAACACGACCGCACCGTTCACCTACTTCAACAAAGACTGGCGGCAATGCTCTACGGGTCCGACCAAGTGAACCCACGACGGCCTCCTCCTCTCCCGCCGACGAATGGGAGCAGTCCTGCAGCTTCGTATTGTGGCCGACAGGTGGCTGCGCACTGGAAGCAAGCGTGTGTTGATGAAATGCATGGCTTTAGCAAAGGCATTCATACACCTCGCCCATTTTGAGTCTTCATAGTTGTATGTGCAAAACATTGTTTTTTCTAGGTTCCAGGAGATATATATTTTAGCGGGATTAAGATTCGTTTTCGCTAAGTCAATGGGAGAAACATGTCAACTCAGGAGTGCCGAGCTTCGCACCGATGCAGCTAGTCAAGGGCCCGTTTTCACATGCGAATAAAAAAGAGTTTTATAAACGTTCAAGCAATCTATTCATCGGAACTTGTACAAGACACACTCTTCTCACGGCACACAAAAATTAAAGTTTCTTATCACTGGCGTTTTTAAGCGCGCAGTGCAATTCACCGCCATGGTGAGCCGGGTCGACAGCAAGTTGGGTCACCCAAGAACATAGTTTGATCAAAATATTGACTTATATAAAAGGGTCCGGTTTTAAGTGCTTATTACACGGGACGAAAAGTCTTTTTGGCTGGCAGAAAATTTGATACTGAAAAACTTTTTACCAAGCCTTCGGTCTGTTAAGAAGCAAAACCTGCCACCCGAAAGCGGCCAGTTCGTGCCGCTGCCGCGAATCGCGCAAATGAAGTAAAGTAATAAAACGATTTCGTCTAAATTCAAATGCTTTTTACACCTACCGAAGAATTTCATTAGCTTTCAGAAAATATACACTTCGGTAAGCGTAAAGATATTTTTCGTTGCGTTAGAGAGCGAAACAGGCGAAGCCGTAGGGCCGGCTTCGCGCTCGGGCCGGAATTCGATCGTCCAAGATCAGGCAAAAATTAAAAATAAAAAAAAAACTACTCGCTTTAGAAGAGTCTCTTTTTCTGTGCTCTTAGCGCACACCTTTTTTTAGCGGCACACGAAATTAAGAATCTGTAGCTACGTTTTTTATTACCTTTTTTAAGCTTAAATCGACCAGCCGCCCTTAGCGCCCGAAAACTAGTTTCGGCTTCCAAGTAAGCGGTTAGATCGAAATATGAAGAAGAATAACTCCGTTTCAATTCAAATGCTTTTTACACCTATTGAAGAAGTTTATTAGCTTTCAAAAAATATATACTTCGATATGCGTAAAAATATTTTTCGTTGCGTTAGAGAGTGAAACAGGTGAAGCTGTAGAGTCCGGCGCGCGCTCGAGCCGCGATTCGATCGTCTTAAGATCAGGCAAAAATTAGAAATAAAAAGAACTACTCGCTTTAGAAAAGTCTCTTTTTCTGTGCTTTTAGCGCACACTTTTCTCTAGCGGCACACAAAATTAAGAGTCTTTATCTACCTTTTTTTAAACTTAAATCGACCAGCCACCCAGAGCGCCCGAAAACTAGATTTGGCTTCCAAGTAAGTGGTTAGATCAATATATGAACAAAAATAACTCTGTTTAAAATCAAACGCTTTCTACACCTATTGGAGAAGTTCATTAGCTTTCGGAAAATATATATTTCGATATGCGTAAAAATATTTTTCGTTGCGTTAGAGAGGGAAACATGTGAAGCTGTAGAGTCCGGCGCGCGCTCGTGCCGCGATTCGATCGTCTAAGATCAGGCAAAAATAAAAATAAAAGTACTCGCCTTAAAAGAGTTTCTCTTTTTTGTGCTGTTAGTACACACTTTTCTTTCGCAGCACACGAGATTAAAAGCCTGTATCTACGTTTATCATTGCATTTTTTAAACTTAAAATAAGAACACTCGAATTTAAAAGCAAGTTATTTGATACAACCGTGGCTCTAAAAAGAAAAACGCTGCCACTCGAAAACACAACACTTTGGAGTATGGGCTCCCAACGGCTAAAAACCACGCGAATATATCCTTTACATACGCGAGCGATGTGCAATATTTAGGAAGGTCACTCGTGCCCTCAAAAGCAATGAAATACAATGTTTTTTTTTTTCACCGAAACAAAATAAACGACATCCGACTGTGGCTACAAGAAGCCAAGTTCGACTGCACAACAAGAAAAAAGACATACTCTTTGCAAACATGCGCGATGCAGAAGCACTGGGTACTCACATATTTCTTGAAAAGAGAGACACGGGAGTTGGAAGTCATCGAGAGACGGCCGTTTTGCAGGGATGAGTATGGCCCTCAAAAGGGCCGTTTGTACATACAGCAGGGAGATAGCTCCTGGGTGTTACTTGGAACTGGTGTACTTGGTGACAGCCTTGGTGCCCTCGGACACCGCATGCTTTGCCAGTTCACCCGGCAGCAGGAGCCTCACAGCTGTCTGGATCTCCCGACTCGTGATGGTCGAGCGCTTGTTGTAGTGAGCCAGCCGAGACGACTCTGCTGCGATGCGCTCGAAGATGTCGTTCACGAAGCTGTTCATGATCGACATGGCCTTGCTGGACACTCCGGTGTCGGGATGGACCTGTTTGAGCACCTTGTAGATGTAGATGCTGAAGCTCTCCTTCCTCTTGCGCCTCTTCTTCTTCTTGTCGGTGGCACGCACATTTTTCTGTGCCTTGCCCGCCTTCTTCACTGCTTTTCCGCTCGGTTGGGGGGGCATCCTCGCGCGACTTGTCTTCGGGAGAAGATCGACGTTGTTACTCGCAAAAAGATGGCGAAACAACAACTGGGGCAACCTGAAATTTTCGTTTTCTTTGCTCTTTTTATAGGTTTTCACAGCATTCTGAAAAATGTGCTCCGATTGGCCAGCATTCTAGAGCGCGGGAAACAGTGCGCTGTGATTGGAGTACGCCCAAAATAAAGCTTCGCGATTGGTTGCTGCGCGAACCAATGAGCAAGCAGTTGAAACTACAATTTTTTGGGAGAGGGTTTTGGGAGAGGAGTGCTATGAAGCAGAGGCAGTGCAAGGCGAAAACGCGCTCTTGCAGCGCCCCCCAAGCGGAGAGGACTGGCACTTGCTTTGATTTTCTGCTTCTCGATGCGCTGACTCCCTCACTCACTCAGTGTTCGTTGGTTTGTTCGGTTGTCCACTTCTCACCTCCACCAAGATGTCTGGGCGCGGAAAAGGAGGCAAGGCAAAGGGCAAGAGCAAGACCCGTTCCAGCCGCGCGGGGCTCCAGTTTCCCGTGGGAAGGATCCACCGACTACTGCGAAAGGGCAACTACGCGGAGCGAGTAGGTGCCGGTGCCCCCGTCTACTTGGCGGCCGTACTCGAGTACCTGGCTGCCGAAGTGCTCGAGCTGGCAGGAAACGCGGCCAGGGACAACAAGAAAACTAGGATCATCCCTCGACACCTGCAGCTGGCCATTCGCAACGACGAAGAGCTCAACAAGCTGCTGTCCGGCGTTACCATCGCGCAAGGAGGTGTCCTGCCCAACATCCAGGCCGTCCTCCTTCCCAAGAAGACCGAGAAGAAGGCCTAAACCATCCCGCGGCATCCGCTACAGAAAAACGGTCCTTTTCAGGACCACTCATGACTTGAGTACAGGATACTCATTTCCGTGCGCTAGTCTTCCGTGTCTCTAAACGCTCGGGTATGTGCATTTCAATTTCCTTTTTGTGCAATGCCGACAGTGTTTCTCTTTCATCACCTACAGGCCTTGAATGCCACTCTTAGGCATTCTCCCATGCATAATATTTACGCTGCGTTTAATGCCAAATTCTTTCACGTGTGCGAATTGCCCGAACAAGACTTGCTGTCGGGCGCAAAGGCCAGCATTGCTTGTTATTTGAACTCGTAAAACCACCGCTGCACTGCCTCGCTTTGAGAGGATTTGAAGCTGTTTCTACGAGAGTCAACAATCGGAGCAGCATTTCCCCGAAACCGGCAGAGGGCAATAAATGTTGTGGACATCCCTCAAAAACAGATAATTACTCCACGGGTTTTTGTTGGTCGAATCTATAATCGTGATATTCGCTGATTGCTAGAAAATGAACCCTGTAATGTCTCGGGAAAGGTTTTTTTCTTCTTTATTTATTTCATTCAACAACACTTTAGAAAACAAGGAACACATGAAGGAATCGTTGGAAGCAACTGCGAACGGAGCACTTGGCACAATGCAAACTAGTTCAAAATGGGAGAATAAATAGAAAGTACTCACAGCTTTTGAACTCCTGCACTTGGAACAAGTCAGCATCGGAGATTGAGACACGGGAGGACGTCGCTTTACACATGTCCGAAAAGCATGTCTGATGTGGCCCTGAAGAGGGCCGTTTTTGTGGCGTTGCCTGCCGCTTCCAAAGAAGCGACATTAAGCGCGTTCACCGCGGATGCGACGAGCCAGCTGGATGTCCTTAGGCATGATGGTTACCCGCTTGGCGTGGATGGCACAGAGGTTGGTGTCTTCGAAGAGACCGACCAAGTAGGCCTCGCTGGCCTCCTGCAGGGCCATTACAGCCGAGCTCTGGAAGCGGAGGTCCGTCTTGAAATCTTGCGCGATCTCCCGCACTAGCCTCTGGAAGGGCAGCTTGCGGGATGAGCAGCTCAGTCGACTTCTGGTAACGACGAATCTCACGCAGCGCGACCGTGCCCGGCCTGTAGCGATGCGGCTTCTTGACTCCACCGGTTGCAGGAGCACTCTTCCGGGCGGCCTTCGTAGCCAGCTGCTTGCGCGGTGCTTTTCCTCCCGTGCTCTTGCGGGCGGTCTGCTTCGTACGGGCCATTCCGAAACGTTGGGACAATAAAACGAGAGAGCTAGCAAACAGCAACACACCTCGACTCCTGACGACCAACTGCCTCAGCGCGAGTGGCGAAACTTCCTTCCCGACAAGGCCTCTCGGCCAATCAGAGAGCTTGTTCATTCTGGATGCTGTTTTGGGCAAGTTTCTTGCGAGGGACAGCGCACGTGGCTCGCTAGGACAATATTTCACGATTGAAGTGATCTAAACTTGTGGAAATAATGTGGAACCAACGTTAGAGCACAGAATCGAGCAAAAATTAGACTCCCAACCTTGTTATTTTAGAAACGGCACGGTTATAAACATTCGTTACCTTCTCCAGTGGGCCGCGCTCGCCTCTCGTCCAATCAGCGCGCTTGTTCATTCTTGGATGCTGTTTTGGGCGACTTTCTTGTGAGGGCCTATGCGCTTGGCTCCGTAAAATAATTTTTCTCGATCGAAGTAACTCAGACTTGTGAGGATAATGTGGAACCTATATTAGAGCACAGAATCGAGCAAAAATTAGACTCCAAACTTTGTTATTTTAGAAACGGCATGGTTACAAACATTCGTCACCTTCGAAGGGCTTCTCCCGGAGGTTCGCGCTCGCCTCTCTCGGCCAATGAGCGCTTGTTCTAGACGGTTTTTTTTCAGTCTCTCTCTGCTTACGATTAGAGTGGGTCATGTCCGAAGAAGTGTCCGCTCCTGCTGGGGTCGCGGCCCCCGCTGCCCTTAAGAGCCCCAAAAAGGCTTCCACGAAAGTGTCCAAGGGAAAGGCAAAGGCCGTGCCAACGCATCCCAAGGTGTCCGCAATGGTGACAGCATCCATCAGTGCGCTTAAGGAACGTGGTGGTTCATCTCTACAAGCCATCAAGAAATACATGTCTGCCAACTACAAGGTGGACGTCGAGAAGCTGTCTCCTTTCATCCGCAAGTATCTCAAGTCTGCCGTGGCTGCGGGAGCATTGGTGCAGACCAAGGGCAAGGGAGCTACCGGATCGTTCAAGCTGTCAGCCAAGTCCGACAAGCCCTCACCTGCTGCTAGGAAGCCCAAAAAGGAGGCCGGTGCTGCAAAGAAGCGCCCAGCCTCGGCAACTGCCGGTGCGGCCAGGAAGAAGAAGCCCGGGACTGCCAAGAAGTCGCCCGCAAAGAGGGCCAAGTCGGCCAAGCCCAAGTCGGCCAAGCCGAAAAAGCCAAAGGCAGAGAAGAAGGCTGCAGCACCCAAGAGCCCCAAGAAACCCAAGGCAGCAAAAAAGACCCCTGCCAAGAAGCCGGCTGCAAAGAAGGCTTCCTCCAAGAAATAGGTCTTCTCCTGGATATCCAGAGCGAAAAACAAAACGGCCCTCATCAGGGCCATAATTCGTTTGCATATCGGGGGATATGCACTTGCGTGGCATGCAGCTCCCGTGTCTCTCGCCACCTCTCTGTTCCAGCCTCGGTAAGCTGATTCCTGCTCTTTTTCAATGTGCACGAGGCATACTTGGTGTTATATTATTGTTTGTTCCCCTGTTAGCAGCATTTTATCTTTGTGTGTGGTACTCGTGAAGTCGTGGAGGCCCGCTTCACGCTCGAGCCGCGATTCGATCGCCTAAGATCAGGCGAAAATAAAAAAAACTACTCGCTTTAGAACAGTCTTTTTTTCTGTCCTCTTAGCGCACACCTTTTTTTTTGCGGCACACGAAATTAAGAATCTGTATCTACGTTTATTATTACCTCTTTTAAACTTAAATCGACCAGCCGCCCTGACCGCTTGAAAACTAGTTTTGGCTTCCAAGTAAGAGGTTAGATCGAAATATGAAGAAAAATAACTCCGTTTAAATTCAAATAATTTTTACACCTATTAGAGAAGTTCATTAGCTTTCGGAAAATATATACTTCGCTATGCGTAAAAATATTTTTCGTTGCGTTAGAGAGTGAAACAGGTCAAGCTGTAGAGTCCGGCGCGCGCTCGAGCCGCGATTCGATCGTCCAAGATCAGGCAAAAATTAAATATAAAAAGAACTACTCGCTTCAGAAGAGTCTCTTTTTCTGTGCTCTTAGCGCACACGTTTTTTTTAGCGGCACACAAAATTAAGAATCTGCATCTGCGTTTATTATTACCTTTGTTAAACTTAAATCGACCATCCACCCAGAGCGCCCGAAAACTTGTTTTGCCTTCCAAGTAAGTGGTTAGATCGAAATATGAAGAAGAATAACTACGTTTAAATTCAAATAATTTTTACACCTATTAGAGAAGTTCATTAGCTTTCGGAAAATATATACTTCGCTATGCGTAAAAATATTTTTCGTTGCGTTAGAGAGTGAAACAGGTCAAGCTGTAGAGTCCGGCGCGCGCTCGAGCCGCGATTCGATCGTCCAAGATCAGGCAAAAATTAAATATAAAAAGAACTACTCGCTTCAGAAGAGTCTCTTTTTCTGTGCTCTTAGCGCACACGTTTTTTGAGCGGCACACAAAATTAAGAATCTGCATCTGCGTTTATTATTACCTTTGTTAAACTTAAATCGACCATCCACCCAGAGCGCCCGAAAACTTGTTTTGCCTTCCAAGTAAGTGGTCAGATCGAAATATGAAGAAGAATAACTCCGTTTAAATTCAAATAATTTTTACACCTATTAGAGAAGTTCATTAGCTTTCGGAAAATATATACTTCGCTATGCGTAAAAATATTTTTCGTTGCGTTAGAGAGTGAAACAGGTCAAGCTGTAGAGTCCGGCGCGCGCTCGAGCCGCGATTCGATCGTCCAAGATCAGGCAAAAATTAAATATAAAAAGAACTACTCGCTTCAGAAGAGTCTCTTTTTCTGTGCTCTTAGCGCACACGTTTTTTTAGCGGCACACAAAATTAAGAATCTGCATCTGCGTTTATTATTACCTTTGTTAAACATAAATCGACCATCCACCCAGAGCGCCCGAAAACTTGTTTTGCCTTCCAAGTAAGTGGTTAGATCGAAATATGAAGAAGAATAACTACGTTTAAATTCAAATAATTTTTACACCTATTAGAGAAGTTAATTAGCTTTCGGAAAATATATACTTCGCTATGCGTAAAAATATTTTTTGTTGCGTTAGAGAGTGAAACAGGTCAAGCTGTAGAGTCCGGCGCGCGCTCGAGCCGCGATTCGATCGTCCAAGATCAGGCAAAAATTAAATATAAAAAGAACTACTCGCTTCAGAAGAGTCTCTTTTTCTGTGCTCTTAGCGCACACGTTTTTTGAGGCGGCACACAAAATTAAGAATCTGCATCTGCGTTTATTATTACCTTTGTTAAACTTAAATCGACCATCCACCCAGAGCGCCCGAAAACTTGTTTTGCCTTCCAAGTAAGTGGTTAGATCGAAATATGAAGAAGAATAACTACGTTTAAATTCAAATAATTTTAACACCTATTAGAGAAGTTCATTAGCTTTCGGAAAATATATACTTCGCTATGCGTAAAAATATTTTTCGTTGCGTTAGAGAGTGAAACAGGTCAAGCTGTAGAGTCCGGCGCGCGCTCGAGCCGCGATTCGATCGTCCAAGATCAGGCAAAAATTAAATATAAAAAGAACTACTCGCTTCAGAAGAGTCTCTTTTCCTGTGCTCTTAGCGCACACGTTTTTTGAGCGGCACACAAAATTAAGAATCTGCATCTGCGTTTATTATTACCTTTGTTAAACTTAGATCGACCATCCACCCAGAGCGCCCGAAAACTTGTTTTGCCTTCCAAGTAAGTGGTCAGATCGAAATATGAAGAAGAATAACTCCGTTTAAATTCAAATAATTTTTA